TGGATTTAATACAAAGATCCCATTATGTATGCATTTATGTACATTTTAATAAGATGTTTAAAATTAATAATACATCCTTAATAGTCTGTCTGCGTAGGTAGAACTTTATTTTGATTGACATAGGTCTAGAGTTGAGACCAAAATCAATTTTTTAAGTTATTATTTTGCAATCATAAGTTTGTGTTTCGTATTTTTACAAAATTAGTACACCGAAGAAATGAAGCCTGCCCAAAAGGGGTCTTAAGATGAAGGCATTTAGCCAGCATTGTACGTATTCCGAGTGATATAACCGCACATTTATATACGTACCTAGACAACCAGGTACTATAACATTTTCTCCTTTTTCGTGCCCAAGATGTTATTTAGCAGACAGTGGGCACAAGGTAGAAGTAGAGTACCGCAAACTCAAAAATGTATGTTGTCATTGATAATTTTATTTTAAGGTTTGTGGTGGAAGTTGACCAATCCATGGTAATTTCCTCCGACGCGTGTGTTCTTCACGGTACTACACTTGAAAGGTAGTCAGTTAGGTAACTCACGTTATAATAACGGATACACCTTCGTTTTTATTGGTTGTTATCCGTTTAACGTAATTACCGAGTATTTATGTGCATAGTATTTATTATAATTTATAGTTAACAGAATAATTATTATGTTTTCGGCTTACGTAACTGTACGTGGAACTCGACTAGTTTCAAGCCATGCTAGAGGCTCATACTCATGAGTAGCAGTGCGACAGTCGCCGCTTCGCTGGTCGCTGTATATGCTGCTCATGAATGTGAACCTCTAGCATGGCTTGAAACTAGTCGAGTTTCTCGTCAAACAGTGACGTGAGTAAGCCGAAAACATAATATTAATTTAGTATGTCTCACGAAAATTATAGAATATTATAAAAACGCTATGTATTTCTTTGTAATCTTGCTACTGTACATTAATAATACTATGTTTTACACAAGGCTTTCGACATGTTTTGATGACTTAATGTCCGATCGGCTATTCGATCTATCAATTGTTACAACTACTGCCATCCACAATCTTTACCCGAGCGTACGGCGCATCGCATTCCGCGCGCGCCTCAAAGAGAACTTAACCCGTCGAGCGTCCGCGTTCCTTATGATCCAACGGGTGCACACGTGACATTTGGAGAAAGAAAGAAAATGCATTTATTTGGCCATTGGCACACGAAAACAAGGATCATTACAATAGATATAAAACAAATACAGTCAAAATAAAAACAAAACATTAATAATAGATTTTATAAAAGAGAAAGCAGCATGGAGCATTTTTTCTTATGATCCACCGGGTGCTCATAAGGACGCTCGAGGGGTTAACAGGGTTACCGGGGCTCCGGCTCGAAGTGCAGGAGTAGGAACGGTGTGGTTTTTAGTCAGTAAGAGTCTGACACTCCCTCCCGCCTCACGCGGGGGAAGTCATTCGATGATTTTCCCCCCTTAAAAAATGCAAAATCTTTGGTTTTGCTGGCCTTTAACATTGCTTAATCCCCTTCGACAAATAAATGTTATTATTATAGGCCACAAATAATAACAATACTCTCGTTTTCAAAATAATCACATGATTTTCGTTAACCGGTTTTAAAGTTCAGAAGGCTTGGTACGAGTCTTTTGTATGTAAAACAAGTTCAAAATGTTACCGCGTCCGGCGCACTGATTGGCCTGCTTTAATGAATCAACCAATCACAGGTCTAAACATTTCGATCTCGTTAAACATAAAACAAACTAGACCCTCAGACGTCAACCAATCTCGTCATTATAGTAAAATAAAAAACGTCTAAAGAGTATCTGTAGAAGAGTTCAATAACCATTAACTTAAACGGTTACATGGAATTTTGTACTGTATTTCTATTATTATAACCTTGACATTTGCTTGATGAAACCGTTTATCTGACTGTGATTATCTGTAGAAGATGTATTGTGCATAGATCATGTGCAAGTCTGACGAAAAATTGGGCAATTACTGTTTATAACCAAGTGCGTCTAGTTAAGTTAATAGATAGAAAAATAAATAGGTACATAGGACCCTAATATTCAACAAATAAGACTTAGGCACATTTTTAGATCATCAGATATTTTTTACTGTAGAATAAAATTACCATTTAACTAATACTAAAAACTGTTAAGTATGGTTAAATTGTCAATTGTTCAAAGTTATTCCTCAGTAAAAATTTATCTGGTGTTGAAAAATTCGGCCCTTAATACTTTAACTGCCAAGTTTAAAATGGTGAAAGTCAAACCTCCACTAGCGTCAGGCACCGGTGACTGACGTGGCGCTCTAAGGGTGACGTTATTGACCGACCTCAAATAAAGGAGGTTTGATCTCTAATTTGAATTCAAGAAGAAAAATTTTGACCAGAATTTTATTTGACGGGGAAAATCATCCAATGATTCTCCCGTCTTGGGTAAGGAGAGAGGGACTGTTAGACTCTTACTGATTAAAAACCACCCTGTTCCTACTCCTGCACTTCGAACCGAGTCCCGGCAACCTGTTAGGCCTCCGAGGCTCCGTATCGGGCATCAGCCCTACTGAGCCTCATCTGTGGTGGTCTGATGGTTCTTATGATTGTCTTTTATGTCAAAGATTGACAAATTGCCCGATGAATTTGGCTATAACATTCCGCCTACACCCAAAATAACAATTTATGTACTAGTTATACAACTATAAATTATTTCATTCAGGAAATTAACATTCTGTAGTAAGGATTTTTGGCAAAAGCATCTGGATTTGCTATAAAAGGAATCTTGTTTATCCATGCTAATTTTATGGTGTGATATGCCTTTTTATTTTTTAAACTGTATCTATGGATATCAGGAAGAAGTCAAGATTATGTTAATTCGTTACAAATGCGTAATTTCGCACGGATATTTGGCAGATATATCAATCTAGTCATTTGAATAAATATGTACGAAACTATGTAGATGTTGTAAATAAATAAATAGTTGCTAATTATATTGACGACGGATTTACGTTAATATATCTAAGTACATCTATCAAATTAATAGACATGCCTATGTTAGACAAAAATTTTGGTACGTTATCCAAATAGGTAGTTAGATTTTTCTGGTGTGATATAAAAACTAGCAGGTACTATTATAGTAAAAAAAAAAAACATCACCCGATAACCCAAGGTTAACAACACTAAATAATTTGCAAACTTATTTAAATAATACAATTAACAATAATAAAGCAGTCAAGTGCTAAAATATGTAAAATACACAACTCATTAATTATTTTTATATGTTTTTTGGAGACTAACGAACCTTCAAAGGAAATAAAGTCTATATTACATTAACTTGTTAGTGGCAACTTCCTTGTTATCATAGATGTCGCTAGTGCCGATAATAAAAAATTGGCAGTAGATAAGTCCTGATTTTCTGCCCTTCTACGGCCATTATACTTGAAAAATACCCCTTCAATCAGGTGAAGCAGGATCATTATGTCGGAGCTTCGTACGATCTCGTCGGTTACCGGAGTTCCGGCTGGAGACAGGAGTGGATCGGGGTGGATTTTAGTCAGTAAGAGCCTGCCACTCCCTCTTGCCCCACCCACGACGAGAGAAGTCACTGTATAATTTCCACCCCTTAAAATGATAACACGTCCAACAGATTGTTCAGGGAGTTATTGGGCTATGGATCCCTAGTGGCTGATAGAATGATGATAATGATGCTGAAATCAGATCAAAAAGTACATGAGCACACCTTAGCTTACGCTTCATCGAAATACGTCTACTTGTCTTACTACCAGTACAGGTTCAAGTGCTGTTCATGCGCACATGTGGTGCAATGCAGTTGGTCAATGGTGTTGGTGGCCTTTTAGCGAAAAATTAGCATACACTAACAAAACACTACTTATTTGCCGCTTGACACAGATTTTCAACCTAAAATATACTTTTATCTGATTCCACTTTTGCTTGTTAAGAAACTGGTGTTCATTCAAGTGTTTTTTTTTATCTCTAGCAATGTTTATGCAAATACATCGTGTATTGCACTGTCGAATATGTGGTTTGTTACATGTTTTTTATGATGCATTTGTAACTATTTAAATATATCTATTTTTAGCAACAGTTTATATAAGGTTTATTGGTTAAATATGTGCATAATGTCCTCTTCATTAACCTACGTATCTATCTAGGCTTTTGTTACCACAAAATCATCAACAGAGTGCCCACTGCAAAAGCCTCTTCTCACTTACTCAAGGCGGATTGACGATAACTGTTATTTGTTGGCACACCAACAGAGAAATTGGTCTCGATTTTTTAAACCATCCTTATGCTACCTAGTTAATTAATATTAATTTAACTAATGAATAGTTATTGAAACATGTTTTACCTTCTTTTAAGTGTGGGAGAACCTTGCTTCGACACGAATGGGCCGGCTCGACCGGAGTGATACCACGGCCTCACAGAAAACCGACGTGAAGCAACGCTTGCGTTGTGTTTTGTCGTGTGACTGAGGTTACCGGAGGACCAATTACCCTCCCCTTCAAGATCCATTGATCAAGATCGAATGAAAGCAATATTGAATTGAAACTATAACCTTGAATTAACAGATTTGAGATTATACATTTTTTGTTTTTGTAATGTTCCGGCCAATTTGCCAAACCTTGGTCATGGACCATATAAAACTTATCGAGCGTTTAGTAAAGAGAATAACACTTTAAGTACCTATCTGAGCAATGACCACGCTGCCTAAGGGTTTTCACATACGTATGAATTGTTTAGCTAACACAGTATTTTTTTACTTGGACTGCCAATAGGTTTATTTCTGTGTGTCTTCCAAGAATATCGAACCATCTAGAATTCTCGATAAAAATACCCATTACGTGCAAAAGATACTATAAATTAACATATATTTAAAAGAATACAACCCGGCACCACTTGGACACTTCTCTGGTGTAGACGCCGATGATTGCTTACCATCGAGTGATTCGTTTGCTCGTTTTCCTGTTGAATAATAATTTTCATTTGTAACCTGTCTTTGTTCCAGGAACATGGAGGTGATAGGCATAATGGGCGAGGGTCGGGAAGACGCCTGGGCCCGCAGCATGCAACCACCCAGGCTTCTCATGCAGAGGGTGCACATACCTTTCACATTTAAAGTACAGGAGAACGCACCAATCGGATATAATGGTAAGTTCTCTATGAATGATCTGAAGTCATATGAAGTTTGTCTGATGATATTCCTTCAGAAACTTAAGTGTGGGAGAGCCGTGCTTCGGCACGAGTCGGCCGCTTCGACCGGATTGATACCACGGCCTCACAGAAAACCGACGTGAAGCAACGCTTGCGTTGTGTTTCGTCGTGTGAGTGAGGTTACCGGAGGCCAAATTACCCTCCCCTTTCCCAATCTCCCCAATCCCTGAATCCCCAACGATCCCCAAGAGACCTAAACTCCTAATCCCATCAGGTGATCCGTCTGCTCGTTTACCGGCTTATGCAATAAAATAAAAATAAAAAAAGCTTTTTAGAGGTAAATCATCCACTAAAATCGGTCAATACTGACTGCGTTGGTGGTGAGCATTTCACATCATTTAAGCCTTTGACTGCCAATGGACTGATGAAGGCAAATCCTTCACTAACGTCGGTCACCCTCACCCGTGACCCCCACGGCGTTGAATTTTATGTAATGTCAAACAACTCGATCGATTTTGAAAAAAATCTCCATACACATCATAAGCTCTCAAACACGATAACAGCTTTTTATTGCGAAAATTAATTGACACATCATAGCCACAAGCAAAAGGCAGCGTTGACATAAATGACCATGAATTCATAATGGATAATATAAAAATATCCTTGTTTCCTTATTAATTTTAGTACTATAAATATACTTCCGATAATGTTATCTTAAGATTGGTATTAAAAACTTCCTATTGGGTTTAGTAAGACTACTTTCGAAGCTCCAAGGTCTACTGGTCTGAACTGGTGCTAGATTGTGAAATTTCGCCGTAGCTGTATGTCCATACTTGTTACTCTAATCTAACATCAAAACTGTTTTTCTCGAAGTAAACAGAGGGGTTTTTTTTTAGAAATTTGATTATACAGCACCTTTTTTTTTAACGTTGCCCCACACTAGGATTTTCTCCTGTGTCGTGGGTGCGTTTACAAACATACAAGTTCACATACACATTGACACCCAGACCCGAAACAACAATTTGTGGATCACACAAAGTGTTGTTCCGTGCGGGAATCGAACCCGCGACACGTTGCACGGCAGCCAGTTTCCCAGCCACCGCACCAACCGTGCAGTCATCTTTAGAGTTGATCTTTAGATTTGGAGACAATTTTCAAGAGCAACACGAGGTTTGAAACGATTTTCAATAATACACTCGAATTATTCTTTTAAATATCCAACAGCAGTTGTACCTATCTAATTAGCACATCTATTCCTCTCCTCAAAAAACAGCTGCGACTCCGTAATGACATCATACCAACAATAAATCAATCAACAACCCCATTATCAAAATTGTCTCAGCAATTCCGTATATCAAACGGACAGATGTGCAGACGAACTAAATAATACATCGTTTGGCAAGATGACACAACGCATTGCCAATTAGGTCACGAGATGCAGTCTATGATGCAAGTTCCCCGGTCATTATGGGTAATATCCTAATCGATGTAGTCACAACCTGAATTCAACCCTACTACTTGGAACTTAGACTGTGTTTTCGTATGACTTAAGAGTTTAACGGTGCGAGTAATGTTTAGAGTTGGTGCCTCTACAGGTAGGCTGGTATTTGATTGGCTAGATAAACATGTTTTGTACTAGTCCATGATAGTTGTAAAGCTAGTGTTGGTATAAAACACTTGGTTTTTCTCACCGATTTTCTCTATGTCAGCGCCCCAAAACATGAGCACGTTACTCAGAAAGTAATGTAGTTGTGTTCAAGTTGTTTAAAAAAATACTTGCCTATTCTCAATGTAAAATGTCTCTAAGTTTGTTTATGATGTAAGAATGCCTGATTCCAAAGTTTGACCAAAAATTCTGTATTTTCAATTTCCTTTTTCGTCCACAAGGGCTTGTTTAGGACAAAATGCCTCTTACCTTTTCTTTTTTAATGAAATCTCAAGTTGATCTTAACTTAAACATGATTGATTTGATCCTTACCATTCCAAATCAAAGAAATTTGAATGATTATACAATAATACTCTTTATTTACTACCATAAAAGAGTGAAAGTTGGAGACGCCTATCTGTTAACCACTTTCGCCCCTAAAGGACTGGTCATAAACCCGTATAAGCCGGTTAAACCTCAACCATTCGCGTAATCCGTAACGCAAACGCGAACGTTACCGTTTACGTTTCATACGCACTTGTTATGTGGTATTTAGATAACCATTTTATCGTAAAGATATCTAACTATAAAGTTGTTTAATGTCTAAGTGTCAATGACCTTTGGTAGGTAGGTATGTTATATTTTTTGCTGTAATTTTTATGATTGGTTCACGTCATTTTAGTCATGCGCTCGCGCAAAGATGTTAAATACTCTGTAAATTTGTTTTCGATCTAGGAAATAGATTGTAAATATATTCTAGATTTTGTATTCCTACCTAAAGTATAGTCTAGGTTAACTCGTCGAGTACCGGTTTTACAGACACAATTAAATAACAATAGGTCGCGGTCACCGGTGACCGCTCGGTGTTTGACAGATTAAGAGTAATGCAAATATTACTTATTTGTTTTGAGGTTACGTAATAAAAGCTGTTTTTAAGGAATATTGAAGTGCAAAAGTTTCTCAGGCTGTGTAAAATATTTTTTTCAGCACCCCTACTCTTCCTGATACCGAGAAGTAGGCTCTTCTGATAAACCTGATCCCTTTGAACTGCCATCACCCGCCACCAAACGTGGAGATAACGGCAAACCCTCAATTATTACATAGGCCTTTAACCTAGCAATGATCTATCCTGGATCTTTGATGATGATGGTGATAAATCACGTCACACTGATGTGTATCAGTTTCTTTTAAAAATCAAACTTAATGCCGAATTATCAAAAATTATTAACAGTACAATAAAATTTCCATTTGACAGTTTTTAGTATGGAAGAATTAACTAGGCCTAAGCCGGCTGCGCGACATCGCTGCGACCGCGCACGCTGCTCATGAGAAAGAAACCCTCTGTGGTTTGAAACTAGTAGAGCTTTTCTCAGTATATTCACGTGAGTAACCCGCGGTTTTTAGTTAATCTCACGATAATTATTATATGGAAGAATTGTCAAATGTTCAATGATATTACTCAGTGTAACATACAGAATTTTGTATGTATGTGTTGTATGTAGTAGTATACAGAATTATGCAAAAATGTATTAATTAAACTAGTATACAAGTAAACGGTTGAAGAAATGTGCCGTCAGCCGCGACCGCCAGTGTCATGGTTCACATACAATGTAGAAAGCGAAACACTTGTATGAAAACTATTGTTTATTATACCCACGACACGGCACACAGCTGCGATAATACATGCCTTTGTATTAGATAGTACCATGCTTCAGAAAAATGTGCAGGCTCGACAGGAGTGATACCACGGCCTCACAGAAAATTGACGTGAAACAGCGCTTGCGTTATGTTTCGCAGTTTGAGCGAGGTTACCCAAGGTTCAATCTTCTATCCACGTAGCATTCACCGTTCATGCTCGTATTCACTGAAGTGTAGGTTAGGCAGAAAGGCGTTAGGTAAATAATTTAATGATGAGTCCCATATGTCCCATGGTTATAATTCCCTGAAGAACCTAACGGGTAACCGGGGCTCCGGCTCGACGTGCAGGAGAAGGAACGGGGTGGTTTTCAGTCAGTAAGAGTCTGACACTCCCTCCCGCCTCACCCAGGCGGGAGCAGTCCTTCGATGATTTTCCCCACTTAAAAAAAAATACCCCCTATAATTTCCTATATTCCCTATATGTACCTATGTAGGTACGGCAATGAACGTTTGCATAAGTTTGACAATATTAAGAACAAAAACAGTTATTTGAACTCTGTCATCAGTTGATATTGGAAGGAAAAAAAAGATATAATCAACGTGTGTGAATCACAAGGCCAATTATCATTGTCTGGACAATTTTAGCAGACCATATGACGACATCAGCGAGTCTAGAACATGAAGCCATGTATAGTATACCTAACTATAGTATCTGTATCTAATTGCTATCGTACCTGATGATAATCATGGTGAATGATGTCATTTTACTAATTAAAAAACTAACTGTACGCGCAAATCTATTATATTAATTGAACGGTGGAGTTGGTGGTTCAATGTCCGAGATGAGCAATTTACCTAGTCATTACAGTGCAGAGCCTGGAATCATGATTGATATATGGCAATAGACTCTTTCCTTGTTCTATGGGCTTCACAATATATGTAGTGATGTATAGTGGGTATTACATTGTTAACTTGATAATCTCTTCATACTTCATCAGAGACCAAAATAAGATACCAAGACCTTGAGGCGATAATGTCGATACAGAACCGAGGAGAACGTAAATCGTTACCGGAGCTCCGGCTCAAAGTGCAGGAGCAAGAACAGGGTGGTTTTTAGTCAGTACGAGTTCTGACACTCCCTCCCGTCTCACCCGAGCGGGAGAAGCCATTCGATGATTTTCCCCCCTTAAAAATAGAACCTCTTTCTACGTCTTCGGGGTCCAAAATATAAAAGAACTTGAGGCGATAAAAAGGATTTAGTCTATAGGTAATGACGTCATAATACTAATTGAAAACCCAAGATGGCGGACGCCAATGTCTAAATTGTCTGTGGGCTTTGTTTTGATACAAATGAGACACATTTGCTTCGTAATTGGTCCATTTATGTTACTCTATGCAAATTACATAGAATTTTGCGAAACTGAAACGAATTTAGACATGTACCTACATAACATTGAGGAACTTGTGGATAAGTTAAAAACTATGAAAAAGGTTAGGTACTGTTGTTAAGTAATTCTTTGATGGGTTTATCTTCTGTCAGCCACATCATCGCTTATCACCTGGCGAGATGGCGGCCCAAATCCATCCTATATTAAAAAATACAGAAGGTAGCCTCTTTAAAACATTGAGACTCTTGCGCGTCTCTGAAAGTTGGGAATAAAGACTGTTCAGACAAATAACGAAAATATACCAGCAGTTACATTACATGATTGCC